AAACTTCTTCTCGATACATCGGCTGTACTCCTTCGCCCTTCGTTCGGTAGTAGGCCACAAAAACCGGGCTTGAGGATGACTATTGAGGACTACAAGCAGATGGTCCATTCCTGACGCAAGGTATCGTGAACATACTGCGGGGGTGATTCCAAACAATTGTTGCAACGAGTACGCCGACATTGTCGAGCATAGCCAATGCAGGACAAGACCAAGGGTCCCTGCCGCATCCAGAGACCGACGGCCGAGTTGAGGCTCTCCATTGGGGTTTACATCGGCTCGGTCGATGGTCGTGAAGTTCCAAGTCGGTGCAAAACGGTCCAGAAGGTCGTCAAAGGTCCTGAAATCGATCCCCATGGTCGTGATGAAGGCCCGATCGCTTCGGGACTTCCATAAGTAGGCCCAGGCACTGTGTGCCATTGGAATAGTCGGGAGATCGGCTCGGGTTAAATATGTGCGGAATTGCCGGAACTGGCCCGGAGTCCCAAGGAAGGCCATCGCCATGAATAATGCAACAGTCTCCTCGCTTTCTCGGTCGTCATTGGCAGAGTTCTGAGCCAAAAGAGCCTCCAGGTTGCGTTGACGGGCATCTTGCTCCACCTGGCGACGCTGCTGGGTGATGCGAAGTTGATCTTGCTGCTCTGATAAGAATACCTGAGGGCTTATCATTGTTAAAGCTGGACTGATGTATCAGCGAACCTGATGTGGCAATCGTGAAAGACATGTGTTACTTACAATTGTCGGCTGGTAGTCGATGTATTGGATTCCGGATGCTGTAAGGCTGCAAGTTGTGTTGATTCGTATTGTATATGTGAGGTGGGATAAGAGAAGATTGTGTGTCAAAGAGGATTACAAGGAGGAGGTGTAAATTTACAAAGTGAGGACGACGGAAGCACATATTTAGACTTTTAGAGTTTTGCTTTGTAAAAAAAAATCTGCGAGCCCCGCAGATCCGACGGGAAGACCTCCACTGATTGCATTCAGAACTCACTCTTGTAGAATAACTCAAGGAAGTCCTTCATTGAAGCTAGTTGTGACCATTCTTCAGGACTTGGGCAATCTTCATAGTTGGAATCCGTAGAAGCGAGGTTTTCAAATGCCTCTCGGAACGGCAGACTGGATTTGATCATAAGGAAAGTTGAGTTCCAACGGGTTGCAACATCTTTGGATGGTAGGAAATTCAGACTGATATTGGCAGTGTCGATTGCAATCTTGAATAGCTGAACTCGGGATTGACTGATTTTTGTGTACTTGACAGATTGACGAAGCTTTTGGACCGCATTGAGCATCACTGAAAGCCCATCTTTAACAATCAAGTTGATTATATGTGCAGCACAGCGAACATGGAAGAACTTTCCATCAGCCTCTAAAGCTGTTGGACTGCGGTCGGAGACTATCATTCGGAAACGGGTCACGGCCACATTATTCGATGAAGCGTTGTCTACAGTGATGAAAGAACACTTCGTTATAGACTTCCATTCAACCAAGCTTTGAACCAGTCGATCGGCAATAGCAGGACCTGTGTGAGGTGAGGCCAATTCCTTGAACGAGATGATGTGCTTCACCAACTCCCAGGATTCATTGATGAAGTGCGCAGTAATGACCATAAAACCAGTTGCGTCTCGAGAGCTCCAGAGATCAGTTGTCAGAGCAAGACGCTTAGCTTGTAGAATTTCCTTGAGAAGATTGCCTTTCATGTTTTGAAAGAGGGCCATGCAATCGTCTTTTTCTGTGAAGCGAGATCTCAATTTGAAGTGTGGATGCAGTGATTCGACAAACAGCTTGAAGTACTTGTGCTGAACCATCCTAAACGGGTAATCGTGTGCAGCAATCATCTTGACAAGCAAATCTCTACTTCTCTTTTCAGAATACTGCCACGAGTTTTGAGTCATGCTTCCATTTTTGACCAAGAGCAATGACTGTTTGGATGATCGATTGGCATCTTGATAAGTCTTGCAGCGGTCCAAGTGTTTCCACAGATGTGCAGTACCAGAAGTGGACTTTCCGGAAAGCTGATCCTTACAGTAATTACAGACTGCTTTCACTTCACCTTGTTTGTCCTTCTTCTCATCCTTAGTGAAATGCTGCCAAACCTCGCTGGTTGACTTTCTTTTATGATTTGTGGTTGTCATCGCTTTGGGGAATATTGGTGTTGGTGGGTGTGGCTGTGATTGCAGAAGGATCAGATGAAGATTGATTTGATTGGCAGGCCATAATGATATGAATTGAAAGGCTTGGAGTCTAGACAGCTAACAATTGAGTGATTGTTCAAAAATTTATGGGTAGTCGTGGACTCGTGGACGGAGGATGAGGGTGCCTGGTGGACCTGTTGGCATCAGGACACCTACAACTATCAAATGAACCATACTATCATTGTTTATGTCTCAGGTTGAGACTTAAGAGTCGCAACTCCCTTGTGTCAAATTTCAATAACTCAACATTCCAGGCAAGTTTCAACAAAAGCGATGCATGCTGAAACTTGGCCTCCTCATGGGTCGACCCATGGGTAGTCCAATTTTGGAAAAGCCTGACCCGACCCACCATGGGTCACCTAGTGGGCCGACCCAACTGGGTCAAAAAATTAGGAAATCTGGGCTTGTGCCGCCCCACCCCGACCCAGATTCCAGCTGGGTCGGGTCAAACCGTGGGCCGACCCGACCCATCCTCACCCCTAATTTGGAGGCGTCAGAGTTAGCTCCGCTTATAACAGCCATCCTACTAAGGAAAGTAATACTGTCAGCAGCCATCCAAGAGGGACAGTAAGACTGCCATAACTTAATCTTCTTCATAAAATAAACAAAGAACAAAAAGATTATTCTATTATTTTCCTTCTCTTCTTTCCCTCTCTTCTACTTTTACTTGTATTTCCTTTATCTTGAGAAATACATTTAAAAGTGCCCCCCAAAACCTTGTGTCCTGCTGTCACTATTGAGACCCAGGCTCACAGTGGACCCGCCGCGGGCGGCGTACGAAAAGGATCCCGAGGCCCCTGGCAGCTCCTCGCATCACCGTTTTGCCAGCGGTAAGTTTGCAGGGCATGCTTGGAGTCATTGCCCACGAGGGGTCTATGCGTCGGGTTGATGTAGAATACTTCATCAAGGACGTATTGGTGAGTTGCCTCATCCTCTTTGAGTTACTGAACCAATCAAAAACTAACCCTTCATGGCTGGTTGGTTCAGATGCCGGTTATGGGGCGCTTCCCAGGGCCGAACAGCGTCCTTGTGTTGGACAATGCGGCAGTCCATCATGGGGGGCGTGTTCAAGAGATATGTGAGGTTCACGGGGTGCTCCTCGTGTACTTGCCTCCGTACTCACCCAATATGAACCCTATTGAGAAGGTGTTCTCGGTCTTGAAGAGCCGATTGAAGCGCGCACAAGTACTCACCGGGACCGATGAGGACACCGACATTGTCATGAATTTCTTGGCGCACATGGTCACCCCGGAACTCATGAGATCACTCTACTTGGGGAGTGGATACTCCGTTTAGATGGCGGTTGATGCCTTCGGTTTGTCTGCGCCTTGGGATCGGACTCTTCTGCTACTCATCCGCTATGCTCCCCCCTCATCCGCTATTATGCCCTGTAAAGACAGACAAAATGAAGATGTGTCTGGTGAGAGTCGAACTCACGACCTCAGCTAAGCTGAGACACATACTAGAGTGCTGCCTTTACCAACTAGGCTACAGACGCTTGTGGCTGCCAGGGTAGTTGGGTCTTACTGGTCTAGGTTCAACTGCACAGCACCTCCAGACTGTGGTGATACATCATGTTAGCAGGCTTAACCTCAACACCCCCCCTTCCTGCATGATGTGAGAAGTGGGATAAACCCAAGAAAGTGTGGGAATGAAACCCAAGAAAGAATGATCAAGATGGGGATTGAACCCGTGATCAAGGAGCAGGCTTACAGGGGGGTCTGGTCTTACAAGTAAGCATTCACAACTTCATCCGGTCTCTATTGAAAGCGAGATATCGCTCAGGTAAGCACCTGGGCTCATAACCTGTAAAGACAGACAAAATGAAGATGTGTCTGGTGAGAGTCGAACTCACGACCTCAGCTAAGCTGAGACACATACTAGAGTGCTGCCTTTACCAACTAGGCTACAGACGCTTGTGGCTGCCAGGGTAGTTGGGTCTTACTGGTCTAGGTTCAACTGCACAGCACCTCCAGACTGTGGTGATACATCATGTTAGCAGGCTTAACCTCAACATGCCCCCCCCCCTCAGTTATCTTTTGTTGCCTCGCTTGGATGTTGTAGTACGCCTGCGTAATATTCTCTCCTGTCTAGTCTACCTGTGATTTTAGATACTGCATATTCGATTGCTACCATCCAATCATGTGTCTCACCGAAGTGACATTGCAATCAAAAGCTTGATGTTATCAAGATTTTGCTGAACTTGATGCTACCCTTGCAAGCTGAGGCTGAATACGAGGCAATTCCTGACGGCCTTGGCTCGCTGGCCTCGGCGGTCTCAAGAACAGGCGAAGCCTGACAGTGTAGGCTCACAGGCCTCAGTGCTGAACACGAGTGTGTTACCCCGGTTTGTCTCACCATGTCATCTGAGGGCTTGCCCCTGAGTATGAGCGAGTCGCTTGGGCGACCCTCATAAGTTATGGTCCCACCGAATGTTATCCGGTCAAGTTGCTCCCAAGGGACACTTGACGAGTTTGACTTGTGGTTGAGAAGTGCATACGTGTGTTACTAGACAGCTGAATACGTGTATTGCTAGACATCTTGGGTATGACCAGCCCGCAATCATAAGAACTCGGGAAGGATTCAAAAGACATTCATTCAGGATTAAGAGAGATCTCACAAAGGATTCAGAAGACAATCATAGAGGCATAAGACATGTGGGGAAAGAGCAGTCAATTATTGAGATAATGATGAAGTCAGACTGGCGCGGTCCCCAAAAGGGTTACAAAGAGTTCAGATCATATATGGCTATGTGCGTGTGCGTTGCAGCTGCGTCAAGTGCTAGCCAAGCAAGTTGCTCACCCGGTCGGCCTAGTACACTGGAGAATCCGGTCTTCCAGCCTCTTCTGGGGCCTTTCCGTTGGGCGTGTGATCGACGGGATCGGGATTGACTGGATGTTGGTCATCCCCTGATGCCTGGGATTTGGTGTAGCTCGCCGGATTGTCGTCGCCTGGGCCCGTGGGGATCTCGGTATGGGTCGCACCTACATACTCGGCGCCATTCATGAGCTGTGAGGCTATCGGGTATGGGAAACCCATGTGCTGCAGTTGGATGACATTGGTGTTCCTGTAGAAAAACTCCCAATGCCTGATATGTGCCATTTTGATCAACACCCGAGGTACCATGTCGTCCCTCTTGAAGTTACACAAGTCCAGGAACGTTTCCATTCCAAGTGCGCGGCCCAAGTCGTTAAGAGGCGGGAGGGATCTCGTTGGGGGAATCAGGACGGCCAACCCCAAAGATAAAATTCCACTCAATTCAGCTGAGGCCACACTCGCCGACCCATTGGACCCAGGTATCTTCCTTGTCGGCGAAGTGTCCGCCACAGCCCGGCCTGCACCACTGGTATTGAAGTCCAGACGGCTAACAGTGATCCCACCGCCACCGGGGCTGCGGGCCATCTTGCGCGCAGGCAACCGATCGGCCAACCACACCTCAATGTCCGTGCTGGATTGGCTGCCAGGCACACCGTTCATATTCACGCTAGGAGTTGCGGGGATTGACCCCGGCTCGTGGTCCGAAACCTCGTCCAAATCGATGAACATCCCTTGGGGAATGTCTCTTCCCCCCCCCCCCTTGGAGTCCACCAGGAGGGGTACCCAAGCGGTCAGTCGAGAGGCCGCGTGCGTTGCGAGCGTCCTCCGAAGCGTTTGAGGGAGGTGACTTGGTGGCGGTAGCGACATCAGTTTGGCCCGCGGGGATGATACAAGGAGGGCGGATGCGCCCGGAGGCTGTGACGCGGGGAGCAGTGAATTTAGTCGTCCCCAATGCTAACCATGCGCCAGGCTTGGCTGAAAGGGATTTCCCACCCTGGCGGCCGTCGAGGGGCCTCTGTTCAGCGAGGGTGTATATCTGAATTGGCTCGGACACAAACTCCTTGGTAGCCGGGGGGACCTCGATGGTTACGCCTTGCGCCCCGTGAACCAAAGCGCGGCTCCAGACGAATAGGCCATCACGTGTGACTCGCATCAAGCACGCCGGATCGTCGGGGTCCTTAATGTGAAGTGACTCGCTGTCGCATCCGTACGTGGAGGTGATGTGATTGGTAATCTCCACCACGAAGCGAGTCCGAGCCGCTGAGTCTTGGTCACATTTAAGCTGCCAGCGGAGTGGTCAGCCAGGTCGCAATCACACATCAAGTGGCCCAAGCGTTGACTCACGTTAAGAACCACCCGGGTTTGCAAGCGTTGTAAGGCCACGCGTTCATCGTTCAGCGCATAGGACATAGCCAGGCTGTTATCCTGAGATTGTTCCTGCGAAAAGGACAACCAGATAAGCGTCAGATATGAAACAGATTCCAGATAAATAACCAGCAGACTTACCGCCTGCCTCTTCTTAGCCGACCTCGCCGGGTCATCCATGACCAGTTTGATAGTCACCTTTGCAGCCGGCTTCTTGATGACCGCAGCAACGAAGGGGGTAAAATCCTTGTCGGAATGAACAAAATGGTTCTTGTTGGCACCGTAAGTCAAGTGGTTTGCAAGGATGCACTGCCATTTGAGCAGTCCTTTTTCTTGGAAATTGACTAGGTGATCGGCCACGAGGGGCCGACGATCACGCAGCAACGTAATGATGCACTGCTGAACATTTGGCCAGGACCACACCTTCAAGGCCGCCTTCCAAACAGTATCAAATGTCGGAGTAATCTTCTCCCACTCTTTTGATGACGCCGCGGGACTGCCCTTCAAAGCCGATGGTATGGCATGAGTGATCTGGTTGGTGGCAGTGCGGTTGAAGACCAGGTAATCAATTGCGATTACTCGAAGATTCCCGGGTGTCAACGAACCTCCTCCAGCGGCCGCAAGTTGACTTTCAGTTGATGGATGTTTGTGGTAAATCTTCATCACCCGCAATGGGCCGTCATTCGTTTGAGCAGGCGCCGTATTTGTTGTCAGCTGTGTCTCGAACGGTACACTTTCCCGGCGGGGTTCCCCAAGGTACAACTTTTGGCTCGCACCCTCAATATTCGAGAAGGGTAGCTGACCAAGCAAGTCATCTAGGTCAAGGTCATTTCAACCTTTCAAGTGAGACATGCCTTCGTCCCACCTAGGCAAAGGCAAAAAATCAAAAAAATCCGAATGAGATGTCGAAAACCCCGATTGCATAAACCTGAGAGAAGGCTAACTTACAAAATAAGGCCAACCATTGTTAGCCAGATAAACGGAACCGCCGATAGTGATATAGGGGAGATTGAGGTTAAGCCAGCAGGGGAGGCTGATGAGTGCGATCCGTGTGGAACTGGCGGTGGGGGGAGGACGAAGCGGCCGAGCAGAAGGTGAGGGGGGAAAGCCATCGGAGGAGGAAGGGAATGCTGTCGAACTTTTGGAAGAACACAGTGACTGTATTCTTCCAAAAGTTCTGGCCAGAAACGATGAAAATTATTTTTTTTGGAAATTCCGAATTCCCAGCCCGCAAGCTTTTGCGGTTTAGCTGTAATTTCACGGTATTTTCTATTTATCTCTACTTACAAGTGTTTTTTAAAAAATCAGAAATAATTTCATTACTACAGCAAGTCAGACACAAATAATTTCATTAGCCCGGTTCACATTTCACACTTTCCACTGCTAACTTGTAATAAACTTTCTGCTTGCTGATTTCAAAACTCTGTTCAAACTTGCACTGGCAGCAGGCTAATTTTAATTGTGGGATCTCAATTCCCTCTGCTAACTTCAAATAAAAAATTTGCTAAAAAATTTGAAATGTGAACCGTGATGAAACTAGGACCGATTAACAGGGAGGAGTTTCTGAGAAAAATTTTGGACAACAAAAATATATTTGTTGGAACAGCTTAAGTTGGCAAAAAATGAGGGAGAAGCTGATGATTTTAATTTCTTGTACTAGGCTAGATTAAATAGACTAGATACAAGAGTTCAAGTTGTGGTTGTTGAGAAAATTGAATAAAGAAACAATATTGAATAAAGAAGACTGAGAGGAAATTGAATTCGGTCTTGATGAAGCATGAGAGAGACATTCTTTTATTTATGATAACTCTACTTGATAAACAACAAAAGAAAACAAGAGCCACAATTCTAATGAAGATGTCAGTTTCATTAAATCAATCTCAACACCAAAAACTTTAAGAATAATTAGAAGATAAGCATGGAGAAGAAAGAAATTAACAACTAGGGATTCAGGATTCTTTGACTACAAGAATTTGATGTTTAAATTTCATGACTTGCTACTAGACAGACTATAAAATTATTAGTAGTTTGGGGTATTAATATAAGAAAGAGTTATGTAAGAGTTGAGAAGTGAAGGAGATGAAGAAGGGAAGAGTTGAAATTCCAACAAACCATCCTATTGCTAAAGTCAGATTGTCCTGTCTTTAGTGATAAGCTGACAGATGTTCTCTACCACAGTCACACTATACTGTCTCATCTGGCTTTTTTTTCTTGGTGGAACAGTAAGACTCTAGTAGAGAAACTTATAAAGAATTGTGGTGAAACAGAATATTATTATTAAGTTTTAATTTAATCCCCTAAAGCAGCTAGTGTCAGAAAAATAATTCTAGCAGCAAAAACAAAACCTGAAGTGCTAACCATATTACACAGATTTGTGGCCAATCCTTCTCAAGTGATATAAATTCAGGGTTGGATTTTCCAAACTCCATACCTGTTTGGTACTTTTTTTTTCCTTTTGAGGTTTGGCATTGTTTTTTTTTTGGCAAAATTTGCACCAAAAGTTGCCAATTTGTGACAGTTCACAGGGCCTACATATCTTCTCTCATTCCTCCCAAGCATTGTTTCCCTTATTTCATGGTGTTACTTTTGTGTGTGTGTTTCAAGGCTGAAATTAACGCATTCAGGTCCTGTTTGATCAAATTGCAAGTTGATTCATAAGCCTATCCTATGAATCATATATGCCACTTGTGACTTGCAAGAAGTGTGGCTGGGTCCCTGAAGGTCCTCTGTCTGGGAGGCTTTGATAAGATGAGGTAAGCAAGTCATAAGAGCTTCACAATCTCTGTCCAGCCTTTGCCTTTGCCTGTGGATTTATGGATGCTATTGCAGCCACAATTTGCTAACAAAATTCAACTGCTACTAAGTTGTTTTCTTCAACTTATAATTGGGATGATCCACGGATTTGGCAGTCCTTTTCACTCTCTGGATATATTCTTCTTTTCATGGGCATGTGTATAAGTTCAACAGCCATTGCTACCAGCAGTTAGGCACAAAAAATGACTTTTAGATTCTCCAGTGATTGGCATAAAGCTGGCCCAAGCTGGAGGTTGGTCGGTGTCAATGCCATTCATTTATGCTCATTGCTCACTAGTCATCAGACGGAGGGTCGACAAACTGGACGAGCCGACCGGTGCAAACTTTGGGCCCTCCTCGGAGGGACTTGGACAAGTTCGCCGGTGGTAGACAGGCGCGAGGCAAGCCCAGGGTAATTTCGTCCCATTTGTTGGCAGCTACTCCCCGAATTAAGCGCCAAAGTCGGATCGACTGTCCGTCGACCTGTGCCGACTGTGGCCCGGCGCAGATTTTGATACCCCCTGGCGGGCATGATACATAATCCAGATGCTCTGACAGGCTCTGACCTTTGGGCTGTGGCAGGTCATTGGTCTTTGTGCGGTCGGCGGTCCACAGGCTTCTACAGGTTCTAAAATACATATCACAACTCTCAAGTCTCAACCTTCCACATTATGATTGTCGAAGAAAGCTTCGTTTCACACGTACTGGCACTGCGCAGTTTTCCAGTCGGGCCAGAGTTCATGGCAGCTTAAGCTACCAGGCTGCCAAGGTCATATCCATCTTTGCAATTTGACTTGTGCTTACATACATGTTTACACAGAAAACAGATGTCTGGTGCTTGAGTTCAAGCAGGTTCGCGCCACCACTTGGATCCTTTGGGAGTTTATGAGCCTTTGGACAGTTTGGACACAATCATGGCCTCAAATATATAATGAAATTCGTATGTACAACCCAGCCATGTTGCCAGCAGCATAATCGGTACAGGCACAAGAATTAGCTGCTTCAACGTCTTCCAAAGACGTGCCACTTTGTATTTTCCATCGCCCTCCATCTTGGTGACTGCCTCGTGGCTCTCCAGTTTCGTCCACCCCACAAAACATCTTTCCAATTACCGGCACACGTCCTCGAATAGCAATTTGTATCCAGCATGTCGAATCTCCAGCGCAGGTTAGCTGGTGAAGATCTCAATCTGAGCACTATTCCACCCGGTGTTAATCCATTCAACTACGTCACCGACATCATCACCCCGCGATACTTCATCCCGCTCTCCATTTCTGCCACGGCCTTCTTGGTGGTGTTTTTTATCTTTCATTTGTTAATTTCAATATTCTGTTTGGTTCTCTTGCTACTGCCTTACTTTCGTGGCATCAAGCAATCCCAATGGCTTTTCAGAAAGCTGTACATCAAAGATAACTCGGGGACAAATGGTACGTATTCACGCTTGAACCACCACACTTTCCAGTGAAGTTGAAATTCTGACTGGGCTTTCCTTCATTTGTTGCTCAAGTTTATAATACGCCTTTGTACTGGGTCAATGCCGGGATCCTAATGACCGCGTCCCAACTGATAGGCTCCCTTGGTGCTCAAGCCTTCATCTTGATACAAATTCTGAGTGCGGATTCGGTCAGATACGCCATACACTCGCAACTAGAACCTCCGTCAGTTTTTGGCACAATTTTTTTGACCAGTCGCGACAAAGCTCATCTCCATTGTACTTTACGCATCTCCGGAATTTCTATAGTTTGGGGCTCATGTTCATCGGGGAAATGCTTACTTATTGGAGTCTAATGCATTGCTTCTTGGTGGCAATGTTAGTTGATAATCCTGCCAAATCTTCCTATGAACGAATCTAGCTAACTGGAGCTCTACTTCTACCCATTCCATAACGTCTTGGAATTCGTAGCTACTATGACAATAAGACTCACGGAGATCCTGCAAAACATGTGACGAGATGGAGTCCATCACCGACTTTGATTAATTCGGTGTTTCTTGGCTTCCCAATATGTATCGTCGCCGCAACCATTGCTCTTTTCACGTGGTTATGCTCAGCTCATAAATTATTTTCAACTGGAGCTGGCCAGATATTGGATTCTTTGAAGCAAGGCTCTTCTGTTTGGGATCGACTGAGAGTTTCATCGACGGAAAGTGAAGAAGAATTACAACTTACAACTCAGCTACTTCAAATCACAACGCAAATAACAAACCTCAGGCAGGAAACCAGTGTTCATCTAGACCATGTGGTGCATTGCTTCCTCATCCTCCAAAGCGTTTTGCTGGTACTGTTATGGATAACTTGTCTCGTGAGCACGCTTAATTTACACTAAGAAGGCAAATCAAAGCGGATCGAGTATATTGTAACTGACAGCCTTTTCTTCCTACTGGGATTGACATCTCGGGCGCTGATCAATGCCTCAGATTTTTATTTCCATGTTTTGGTTGCTGGTTAGCAAATACCAAAAAAGTAACGTTTCCTCAGGCAGCGCATCGGCCGAGACGAGTTTCTTCCGCCGTTGGCTCTGGCCAAAGATATCCCGAGGCGCCATTGAGGAGCAAACAGTTAGCACAACCCCAAGTTTGTACGACATGGCAAAGAAAGACCGTCAATTTTGTGGGTATTGTTACACCACTTACTCAACTAGTTTGTAAAATCTGCAGATTGAAGAATTACTGACGGACTCTCACCCCTCGATCAAGCATATTGTAGTCCATCTGCTTGTGAGATCGTTGGGTATGATCATCGCAATGATGACTATGATGGTTCTTTTTCTTTTGGGCATCGTCCGGACTGTCGATGTTGTTAGATCGTAAGCAAATTCTTCAACCCATTCTACTCTAGCAACGAGCTGAATGCGCGCCACTTAATACGCCGTTTTAGGCCATATTGGCGAGGGGTGGCGGCATGGCTTGCGACAGCTTCTGGTACATGGTCGGCTTTCCCCATCACATGGCAATGTGTGCGTTTTTCTCATCAATCGATTCCATACGCTGAAGTCTCTACTGGGTTCTTTTAAACTCCACTAACCACAAATTTGCTTTGTGAATCTATAGTGGAGGTTATATAAGGAAGAATTGAGCGGGGGATCGCAAGATTCGGCAAATAAAAATTCCTCCTGTAAGATGGACGCGACTCATCAAGATAGTGTTCCTCCCCGACCTTGGGATACCGATTCGACAGACATTGAAATCAAATTCATTTCACCGGCAACAAGCGCCTCGCCCATCTCTCATGAACCCTGACATTTCTTCAATTGCTCGTAGATCGGTTGAGGCGTTCTCATAGTGTCTAGGCTCTAGCTGCAGCCAATCCGTTTGATGGATCCTTCGATTACGACTATAAGCACGGCTCGGAGGAGTTCCCTTCGTTAAGAATAATACTAATTATCTGGACACTTGACTATGTGCTGTTATAGATCGTAAAAAAAGGCAAAAAAGACTGGATTTGCTATGATGGATAAATTATAGTTGTATTTTAAACTTAACACAAGTCCCTCCAAGGAGAGGCTTGCGTCAAGTTCGGCTGTATATGTAGATTTAATACTCTCTCCTTTTAAAACCCAACTAAGATATATTAAATTTTATTGGTTTCTCTTCCGAAACAAATAGGAGAGAAACAGCGGGGAATGCGTCGACGAAGGGAGGAAGTGATGAAGAGTTTGGGTGGCCTTTTTTGCCGTTCGGCTTTATGTTTGGGGTAGTCCTCGAACTTGAGGGACCCTGAGAGTGAAACTCACCCCAAGTCCCAATGGAAGTTTACTCGCGGGCAATTTTGGTCCGGAGAGCTTCATGACATTTGGCTAGCTTAACATAACCCCCATGTTCCAGAGGGCCGGGGTCCCTCGCGAAGCGAACCTTTCTGGAAACAACATCAACAAACAACCACACTCAGAGTACAAGACCATTTACGATGATCATCAAACCCAGCCTGGAGAGGGTGATACATCTGATGTCATAAGTGGCAACTGAGAAGGATTCAGGATTTTCTTTGCCGGTGACCACAATGACTCAAAGATTGTCACTGCACAATTTCTCTCTTTGGTCTTGACTTCGCCATCAGCTCTGCAAGGTGTTTCATACTTCCCGGACAATTTATCCTTGGATTGGTGGTAATTTCCCATATCACTAAGGTGGCAATTTCAAGCTTCAACAATCATGTGTTAGACATTTCATAGTGGGTTGCAAGATTTACGTAAAAGATAAATCCACAGGCTAAACATAAGAACACTGATGCATCACATCACCATTGGCATTCAGCCAGAAGATGTGGCTGAACGATGCAGATATATTTATGTTAAACTCGCGGGATTCTCGAGCAACTCAGTGGGGGAGGGGCTAACTAGAAATAGGAAGGAGTTGGATAGAGAGACTGAAAGCAAGTGGAAGAACAGCAGAATACACAGTCATCTTTCAACAAAAAAAAGGCGTGAGCCTGACACGTCTGGTGATTTTTTTGGGTTGGAAAGTTTGACGAAATGCACGGCCAGATACCAAGTTCACTTATTTGGGCGAGGGTTTTTTGGGCGAGGGTTTTTTGGGCGAGGGTTTATACTTGGCACAATAGTTACACGCTGTTGGTTGGTGTAAGCCTCGCGTCAGTCTGCTGGCGTGTCTACATGTGGGTGATATTCGAAATTGTGAGACTCACTAAGGAAATTTTTGTTTTTATTGCTTGGACACCCCCAGTATTTACCACTGTTATCGACGGCCTCTACACAACCGTGGGGTGGGGGGGGGAGGGGGGGGCAGCGGGGAACGTTGCACATAAGCGTTGATTCAAATGATTTAATTATGTATGATATGCATCCTAGAACCTTCATTACGACTTACGAATATAGTCAAAGTTTGGAATGATGGTATACTCAACTGGGCGAACTATCATGAGTTCTTGGCCGTAAACAGGCTTGTGAGTGGTCTTGTCGAGAGGTAGGCATTCTATAAACTCAAACATAGGTTTGTCATCTAGTTATCCAGCACGGGTGCGTAACAAGAAGAAAGCTTTATGAGTGAGTTGTACGGAGAATCCTTGCTGTCATACTCCAGGTATACACAACTCACTGCCTGGGCAATCCCAATAGTCGCAAAGGTAAACATCTCCCTTTGAGGTTTCACATTCTACAGTTAATTTTGGGAATTTCGCGACAAATCAGGAAATGTTACTGTGGGATATCATCTTGTACGGAGGGGATTGGTGCTTACTTGAATGATTTGACTTGGTCTTCATGATAAATTCTTTATCGCAGGTTTGTTGAGGTTCATTGCCTACACGTCTTCGCGCGAGGGAATGTTTGGGCGATTCTAAAAGCTGAACAGAGGGCAAGAGATTCATCATGATGGTAACTGCATAAATGATGTAAGATCTCTGAGCCCAATCTATGAGGAACATTTTTGGTTGTGACTTGGAATAGTATCAATGACTGATCAGATGTCTGAGATTGGACGGTTGGGTGAGTGAGATGAGTGATGCGGTTTGGTGTGATCTTTCCGGAAGCTCAGCGAGAGGTGGGAGTTGTTGAAAGCCCCAATTGCGAAACCCGGTCCACTTGCTATACGGCACTAACCCGACAAGGCGTTAATCTGTGGCCATCGGCTTGGCTACAAGCCACTGAGGCTGTTCTAATTGTAGTCACTCACGGAGGAGCCCGCGGGTCAACCTGAGTCCGGTCAAAACAAAACACCTGCTCATCGAGGGGCGCTTCTTGCCAGTCTGGCACCAGGCCCTCTGATCGAGGAACTTCATGTTGTTAAGCTAGCACATTGTTGCAGTTATTCGAACAATTACAGCTGAACAAACACATTGGTTGCGTGATTACACTTTGGGGTTGTTGAGGATCAGCAGCCAGCTCCTAAGTTTGTCTTCTTCATGGTATAGCGATGGCGAGCTGCTGGGTCTCAAGTTTCTTAAAAGGTCTAAGCTGTTATATTGTCTCAACCTGCCAACCTGGTCGGCATGTCGAGACGTTGCCCTGTCCCTCGAATTTGGACACAAATCATGGCACTCTCTTGGCTCCCGAGTTGATTTTCGCTATGAAAGGAGCTCTAAAGCCTGCAGAATTTCAAAAGTACATCGTGGGGATTCTTACCATCCACATCGGTGAAGAAATGAAAGACAAACGGCTTCTGCGTCCTTTTTTCTCGACCACGCAGCCAAGATATCTATACAAATTTTTCACAGGACCCACATATGAATTCTACAAGTGCAACTCATTGGCCGGCGCTGATTTGCTCTCCTGGGATCCTCTTTCCCTTATTGAAGTCTGCACATGGTCGGTGGGTGTGCCTATCCTTTGAAGAGTCTTTCTCACCGGCTGAGGAAGGGAGTTAACGTATGATAGTTGACCGTGTTTGCTATGAGGTCAGGGGAATCTTTTCTCTCATGAAACCACGACTCACAGTCTCGACTGCACCCCTTCCCTTGAGTTTTGGAAATATCCGAGTGACTTTATCATCTCCGGCCTTCTTTATACATTACTGATTTCTGCCGGTTAAACACTTTTATGTAGTGACATCACGTACATAGACTGAACGCATACCCGGAAAGCTTACCTCTATCTAGTGATGAGCAACCGACTCTCTACCGAGGACATTTTGAGCACGATTCCCCCCGGTGTTAATCCTTTTACTTATCTCCTTAATCTTATCACGCCCCAGTTTCTTGTACCGTTCTCCAGATTTACCACAGCCATCTTGATAATTTTTTTCATCTTCCATCTACTGATCGCAATATTCTGTTTGGTGCTGCTGGTACTACCTTACCTTCGTGGGATTAAGAGATCTCAATGGCTCTTCAAAAGGCTTTATATCCAAAACCACTCTGGCGAAAATGGTTAGCTCAAAATTACATAAAATCTATTTGCTGTAATTTCATTGACCAGACTCTAAAGATGGATTTTGCTTTCGTTGCGGTGCTAGTTTACGAAACCCCTTTGCTCTTTGTCAATACCGGGATCCTAATGGCAATCTCCCAATTCATAGGCTCCATAGCTGCTCAAGCATTCATCTTTATTCAGATCAAGACCTCCCACTCGAGCGATTACGCGTTAAAATCCCCGCTGGCGTCTCCGTGAGTTCGACTTCCAGGGATGCATCAAATGAAATTGAAGTAAGGGGCGTTGAGTCTCATGTGCTGATTGTGCATTTGTCTTCTGAAGTATGGGCGTCATGTTCATGTGCGAAGTCCTCATTTACTGGAGCTTATCGCATTGTTTTTTGGTAACAATGTTAGTTGGTTGACTTTCCAAAACCCAATCGCAAACGGTCTAAGCTGACTACTAATTTGCCATAATGGGTACTTCAGCTACTACGATCGCAAGACTCATGGAGAAATCACACAAGGCACAAGGACATGGATTTCCCCGCCGGCTGTGATCAATTTTGTATTCCTTAGTTTCCCGATTTGCGTCGTCGCCGCAACTATTGCTCTTTTTACATGGTTATCGTCAGGCTTCACTCACTTTATGGTTGCGGTAGTCAAAGTTCTGGATGCTTTGAGGCAAGGCTCATCAGCATGGGATCAGTTGAAAGTTCCATCAACATCCAGTGAGGAAAAACTCCACCTCACGACACAGTTAATCCAAGTTGTATCGGAGGCAAAGAACTTTACTACTGACGTCAACATTCGCTCGGAAAACTTGATAAACTGTTTTCACTTGGTCCAATGTGTGTTATTAATAATAATCTGTACAACCTCCTTAGTGAGCACTCTAAGTTTTGTTATAGCAAGCGTCTCCAACAAACCAGGGCCGACTATCTGGTCTGATATGTTCTGATATTATCATTTCCTTCTAGGTTTTCATTGTTTCCTTTTGGGTGCTGGTTCACAAGTTCCGAAGAAGACATCGCCAATCAGACAAAGCATCATCACGATCAATATATCTTCGCCGGTGGGGTAAACGAAATAATCCAAGAAATGCAAGTGGGGAGCAATCTACTACAAGCAGCAATCTAAACCCCAGCTTCATCGATGTTGTCAAGTCAGATCGCCAATTTTGTATGTTTGTGCAGTGTACGACTTCATATGTACCACTTTGAAACCATGCTGACTATCGCATGCGTAGTGCACCTGGCCCTGAGGGCGATCTCTATCATTATTGCGATGCTCACTACAATTTCCCTCTTGCTCTTGGGGATTATAAGAACGGCGGATGTTGTGAAATAGTGAGCGCGACGCATACTCTCCTGTGTTGACGGCAATGGACTAATCGAAAAGAATCGTACATTCTTAGCCCTTACTGGCGAGGTTTGTCAACCTGGCTGACGACTGTTTCTGGCACATGGGCTGCTATCCCAATTGCCTGGCAATGTGTGCGTTTTCTCCATCAATATATGCTGCGCTTGGATTATCGTGTCTGATCATTCTGAAGGATGATTGTTTTTAGTGGAGGCTATACCAGGAACAATCAGGCGGGGCGTCACAAAGTCTATCAAATTCGAACGACACTGCTTTGATAGGGGTGCCAGGCAGCAAAAACGCAGATCCTGGGCGTCCCACACAAGACGGTGCGGAAACGATAGAAATCAAGATTGAACTTGACCCAAAGGCCATTCATCCCACCGAAACGTATGAGAAGGAGTAGCATTTCTGCAGTTTATAAACCACATCATATATGCTGCCCAGGGCTCCCCCGCGTCTACATATGTCGACTGAGTAAAACACGATAATTTGCATGACTTTTTCATTCCATATGTATTTTTTTGTATCTACAGTAGAAGGTTGAATGACCACACAGGTTTAATTTCTTCCACGCTTCTCAAGCTATGTCTTAATCTGTTGGCTGAAGTTCAAATTCAACGTGTTCGAAATTGAAAACAAGTTGATTGCAACATATCAAAATCAGGTGTGATATTTTCAGAGACTTGCCCAATCATTTTGATGCTGGTTTCAACACTCCTGCAAAAAGTTAGGTATGTGATACCAAATTTTGAACACCCATCAATTTGACTGGTTGCCATCTTAGATGTGATTCATATATTTAATAAATGTTTTTAAAAAACCAACCAAGTCACATTTGTCTCCATTAAGGGAAAGAAATCTAGAACAAGGAAATGGTTGGATCAGAATGACCCACAAGAAGTCAAGCTCATATTTGATTTTAACAGGTTGCAAAACAAAAAAATTGAGTGGAAATTTGGCATTTCTATTTTGGTAATCTCAAACAAAAGAATAAAATCCAGGATAAGTGGTGGAGTCCAAGAGCATCCATTGGATACCACAATGCACTGACCATCATGTGGATGCTTGATGTTTGGCACTTGAGGTCTTATCTTGAGACAAAAAAACACTGTAAATTTGACTAGAGATGGGCGCTTTGGATCCGGATATCCGCGCGGATGCGGATATCCGGTCTCTTTTTCCGGGGAAAGCGGCATCCGCACCCCCTGGCGGATATCCCCCCGCCTCAGCGGGTATCCGAGCGGATATCCTCGGATACCCGCCCTCTAAATGGCCGGCGAGGCACATCCTCGCCGGCTGGCAAGAAAACGTTTCAGCCGGCGAGGTACATGTACCTCCACAGCCGTGGCAACGCGGGGCCCCGGATCGAAGCTGACCCGGGCCGACCTCGACGGCTGGAAGGAAACCGGCTGGAAAGGTTGCCTTCCAGCCGGCGAGGTACATGTACCTCGCCAGCTGGAAGGGTTTCCTTCCAGCCGTTGAGGTACACCACGGGTCGATTTTTTTTCTGAGCTCGCGTTGGCTTGGCCCCGCAGTCAAATTTAAGTTGGCCCAGGTCAGCCTCGACCCGCATCCCCTGTATCTACCCAAGTCGCGGACCCGACGGAAACACTGGGTCTGGCCGACACATCCCTAACCCGAGTTCCTTGATGGAGCAGCCAACCCTCCCGACACAGATTTTGTCGGCTGGGTTGGCTTGACTGGAGTCGTTCGATGGTGAGCAGCTGCCCTAGCCGACAAACTTCAACCATCGCAAGCAACCCAACGAAGGCTGATGGTTGGGCCGACTCCAACTCTCAGCGGCCATTGCTGCCCTCCCCTCAAGTCCGCGGCTCGCTCGAAAACTCTCGTCGCCGATTGGACACACCACCAACTCAAACAAAAAAATCATGCCGGATCAGAAACTGTCGCACACACCAGAGTTCGAGATCCCACCCGTTCCTGAGGCTGTTTCAGCACCCCACTCACCTCATCAAACCAAAACCGGACACCATGTGATGGCTCCGACCGAGGACACTGGTGATTTGGAAGAAAAACTTGTGGTGGCTCCAACCGAGGAGCCTGCCAAAGAGGTGAAGTCTAGGAAGGCAGTGGTAGGTACTTTCTCTATAATATCATGTAGCTATTGTACCTCATAACTAATACACTCTTATCTTTTGATTGGTTCAGAGAAAAAATTCCACTGAAAAGCAAGTCCGTCGAAGCCGTCGTATCTTTGATCAATCTCACGGGGACGGAAGCTTTTCTGCATCGGCCGGTTACTTCTTGAAGAACGACGGGCATCAAGAAGGCTCGTCGTCCAAACGCCAACAAAAATGAAACCGCTTCATCGCCTACTTGCATCAACATCAACAAACCAAAACAAAACACCGATTAATCAATGCTTAGCTCATAAAAACTGTATACTCACGAGTCACAACTGTACCATTCCTGTATCAAAGTTCACATCAAACTCGGATCCATTGTTGTTCTTGCCATCGTGGATGACTTTTTTCTCGCTTTTTTTTCTTTCTGCTCGAAAATTGATCCCCACTTCTTCAATCCATCATGCAAAGTATTGACCCACTGAAGCGGTCCAGGTGAAACAAATGTAATGTCTGAGAATGTACGATGCCAAGCGGCCGATGAGAGCGAAGCTATATTGACGATGTATCGATCGTGGTCTGTGTGTGTTAACTCTAGCTTCTTCTTTTTACTTTTGCGTCGCTCAACAAATCCATCCCCAGTTTCTGTTAATTTACATCCACCATCGTGACAGTTGTGCTGTACATTTAAACCGGCTTTAACACTCTATGAAAAAAAACAGTTTGATATCAAAATAAGATCAAGCAATGAATGAAATTATCTTACTTGTGAGTTGACAAAGGTGGATTGAGGTGTTCTTTGGATCTTCCTCATTCTGTAGAAACTATCTTCATCCATTTTTTGAAACAAGTTTGTGTGAATAAAATAAGCACTTTTGTGGAATGGCTTCTGCACCTGCCAGATGGATTTGATTGATCCAATATGTTCAACTTCTTGAGTTTGGCTGGCATTGAACTACAAAAGAAGGGAAGATATGATTTAATGCCACAAAGAGAACTTTCAACTGTGTCAAAAAAAGAGAATGGATAAATACCAAAATGAAATAGTTTTTCTTGAGAACTTGCTTTTCATTCAAGATCAATTCAGATATTTGTTGAATATTGTGGCCACGATAGGAATTCTTCAGGTCTTCAGGAGTAGGGATTTGTTCATCTTGGGGGACTGAAAGTTTCTTAACAAAAGGATAGGTGATTTTCTGAGGAGAAGATAAAGAATTATTATAGCCCAAAGTTTGCTGGATTAAGGGGTTATTTTTAAATATATTTGTGACTTGGCTGGAGGATTGCACAAATTTATTTTGTTTTTTGTCAAAGAAGAAACCACCAGAGATAATTTGAGAAAACACATGGTAATTGCAGAATGTAATAGCTATATCTTGACCGGGACTTTGGCGATTGGAGTGAATTGAAGCATTTCGAAGAATACCATTATAACTTTCAAATTTTTCTGTTGCAAAAAGACATGCAGGACCAAATCGAAGGATGGAATCTGGAAGATGAAGTAACATGTGGAATTTGGGCTTATTAACCCATTGGGCAGAAGCTTGAATCATGTGATTTAAAAATATATCAATATGATTCTTCAAATCAGAAATATATTCTGTCATGTCTTCAATATGAGTTTGAAATATTAAAGAGCCCAGGAGACAGAGTGAAGACCAGATATCAATCTCAGATGGGGTCATGAATTGGAAGAAGACGAAGGGAGCTGCTTGAAGAATTATTCTGAAATCTTTGCCAACTAAACTTGAAGAATATTGAACCAAACTGATGGGTCTAACGGAAGGGATATTGAGAGAATTGGTGTTGAAAGAAGTCCATAAGGCTGTGAGATCATCCTTTTGTGTTTGGTCTAATCCCTTCATGAAATCTCTAAATAAATACTTGACGGCACCAAGTAAAAAAACATGCAAGACTTCAACCGGAGCATCTTTGACCATGTCAAAACCTAAGACCAAAAAGCAGAGGAAAGAAAAATTTCAGCAAAAGAATTGATAGAAAACCCTGAATGAAAGAAATAGCCAAAAACAAAAAACCTTTCAGCTCAAAGTAAGGATTAAACATTCTTTTAGGTTCCTTATCTTCTATATCAACCAATTCCTGAGGAACCTCTTGATCCATATCAGATGATAATTCTTCTCCAGCTTCAAGTAACTGAGTTTTTTTGCATCAAATTTGAATAATTGTTTGGCAAACTTTTGATTAATTTGATCCCGTACAACCAAATCAGCAGATTTCTTGTCTAGTTTATCCAGATTAACAGTTTCCTTGGCGTGCGTCCACAGCTTTTTGGAGTTTTCTTTGGTTTTTTCCATAGTTCGCAGTTTATTTGGGCACTATTTCAGAAAACAAAGCAAGATTTCAAAAACGTCAAAAAAAGACATTAATGAATAAAATCAAAAAAAAGAACAAGAAAATCAATACATTTGATCCATGCAAGTTTTTCTGGGTGAATTGGCAAACATATGGAAGCTTCTTTCTGGCTTTCAAGCTGGACGAACTCAAATCACAGCATCGGCAAGGGTTGAGAGAATTTCCAGGAACTGGTGTGTTGGTAATCTCAGCGTGCATTGGAGAATCAGCGCAGAAAACATAAGACACTAGTCATGACATGAACTTCTGA